GGGATTAAGTTTTGCATTCAAATCACTTCCACATTTGATCATTTTCCTTTCAGTTGGTTAAAAAAAAGTTTGATTTCATTGTTTTTATTTAAAAAAAACACACATCCCTGAAAATCATTTTGTGTGTATGTGTATTTAAAAATGCGTATCCCTCCCCTCCCCCCAAGAACTCTCAAATTCCAATCCATGAAACAATATAATGCCCAAAGTAAGGGCCCTGGGCAGGGTGGCTTAGTGACACAGGGCTTGTTTCCAATCGCAGTAAAGCTGCCACTCTCAGGTATTCTCAGTTAATGGGTTACTTATTAGGGCAAAGGCTCTAAATGCCACCTCCCTAATCATACACGTCACTATATTTCACGTGAAAAAGCTGATGCTTTTGCTTGGATACTGAAACCCATTCATTCATTCAGGAGGTGCTTGTTGAGCCCTTCTTGCTCATGTGCAAGCCTGTGCTAGGTTCCACGGTTGCCAAGTGAGACTTGGTCAACACCTTGCCGGTAGTCAGTGGTCCTGAGACTACACTGAATAACATGTAAACAAAAGCCCCCTAATCATTTCTTAAATTTTGATTTAACCCAGAATCATTTTGCTTGTAGATACAGAACCATTATCAGGGGAAATTGTATGATGCAGAGGTGTGGTTCTCTGTTCACACGTGGGAAGTTTATGCTGGACAATGTTTGTAAAGTGATTAAGCATATTTTGACTCTATTTATAGGCTATGTTTTTGCTCCTGTGGAATATTAAATAGAACAATTTTTGTTTGGCTCTATTTATAACCCATGTCTTTTTTCTTATTAAAAGAATAAATAGAACTATTCCACCCAGGTGCAGCCGTAGGCCCTTTACATGTTGTCTCAGCTTGCTTTCTGGAACTCACGTCATACCTTCAATTTGGGGACTTATTCCCTAAAACAAGTACAGGGTAGGTTTTGTTAAATTAGCACTTTAAAAGGTCACAAGTAATAGGGTTGCCTTTCATCTGAAATTATTCAGTTTAAGATTCATAATATATCCCAAGTATATTTTCTTTTTCAAATTGCATCTGTTAGCATAATGATATTTGCTTTCTCTTTAAAGCATTTTTAAAAACTTCTATATTTACCACATTATCAAAGAATGATATTTATTAGGTGATGTCATTTGCTAAGTAGGGAGGAGTTAGCAGCAGGCCTGCAACGTTAGTTTAACTGACAAATCACGCTTAGCAATGTTAGTTTAACTGACAAATCACGCTTACCTTAATAGACCATGTTGTTACGCTCATTTTACGTAAGAATTAGACATTTTAATTTTCTACCAATAAAGCCTTGTTATATATAAATATAGAAGAAAAGGATACTTGAGCTAGATCCCTGTTTAAATTATTTTAATCATATAGACATACCTATAAAATGTGTCATCTTGGGTATATTTTTGAAAATGGTTGGAATAAGAGTTAACTATTGTACCTATTTTTTTTTTTAAAGTTGTAGCTGAATCAATTTGCGTTTGTTTTTAGGTTATTGTTCCTTCTTCCCATAATAAACTGTTTTCTTATATACCATCTGATATTGCTATTTAATTATTTCTGTGAGTTTGTCTTCCTAGTAAAATCTATGTTTCTTGAAATAAGGGGCCTTGTCTTTAATATTAATGGTGTCTTCGGAAGTGCTCAGTTAGGTCTTAGGCCTAGACTATTTGCTTGAAAATCACTTGCAAAATTGCACTGAAGTTTAAAGAGAACGGCTAGCTTCCAGGTAGAGGAAGACAACCTGAGATATCATTTCAAGAGCTAACTGGCTGATCCGTGTGGGTCTTGGAATGCCAATTGAGAATAAAAATAGAATTGTCAAGACAACTATAATATTCATTGTTGGCCACAGCGCAGTTCTGTGCTAATAACTGTATGAGAAACTATTTTAAAATTGAAAGGTGATTTGAGCATAAAACCAGAGCAGGAAGGGTTATTGGATGCGCGAGCTGACTGTTGTGCTCAGAGAGGGTGCCTGGTGCATTGGTCTCTGTCATAAGGGACTAAATACCTGTGAGCATTGATAGGAAAGGTGGGAACTCGGGGAAGCCTTTCTATTGGATGGTCCTAGAGAGATGTTACTAAATTCTTGCTTCTCTACTCCTATTCCAGGCTTCATACAAGACACGCCGTGTCCATTAACCGAGTATTTCTTCATGCAGGTTAGAGTTGAATTGATGGAGCCTTTGCTAGTTCAGTTGAATCCACAGTCCAGGCAATTTAATTGGCATTTGAGGGTAAGTGGTTACTAGAACAACCCAGGCAATTCACAGATCATAGTTTTCCAACTCATACACTGTAAATTTCTTCAGGTGAATTTTCTAACTTATACGCTGTATTTTTGTCATAATTTCTTTTCAGGAATTTGTTCTCTTCTTTTTTTGGGCTGTATTTAGATTTACAGCCTAGAAAGACACAGTCAGGATTTTTCACCTAGTGAAGTTTGACATGTTATAAAATTATAGGCATAAAACTATAGGCATCCTAGCTCAAGCAGATGACACCCCACTGGAGGGAAGTAGTCTCCCTATATAAAAGCTGATAGGGAGTGTGTGTGTGTGCGCGCGCGCTATTTTTTTAAAGTGCCTCAAATGGAAAACAACAATATTTTTCTATTGAAAACAGCTATGTTTGGCCACCCTAGTTCTTTCTCTTCATTCTGTAGGCAGCCTCTCTACTTCAGATCAGTCCATGAACTAGAATGTATTTTATTTTACACTCTAGTAGCTCATATTTTTGAGGCCTTCTGCATGTCTAACATTCACAGGAAAATAAGTTGTTTCTTCTGGACGTCTCCAGGCTGTGTGGAATTTTGCGAAGAACAGGGCAATCAGATTCAGAAGGCGCTGGCTGCACTGGATTATCCCGTCCGGGGCTGTGTGCTCTTATTCATTTACTCAGTGTCGCTGAGCCTCAGCATACTTTATTTTCTGATGAAACGGCCTTTGCAACAATACCTATCTCGTTTTACTTAGTGTGAGTGTGCTTTGTTGCTAATAGAATTTGGGAAGGTAAAAATCTTGTATTCCTTCTATAAATCCAACCTGGATGACATATTTTGACAATCACTGGCATTTTGCAGTAAATATATATTATTTAAGAATACTTGCCTTTCCCAAATTTTTCAAATTGTATATGTTTGGGTAAGTAGTCTTTGGAAATGAAATATAGTCAGAGATCCTGTTACATTCATATGACTAAAGAATAGATCACACTTATCATCAGACAGCAATGGGATATTTAAATTGTACATTTCAGGGACTACGTGATGAAGAGTTTTATTTCTCTTCATATAAAAGAGCTAAGATTTTTTGTTTCTTTGTTTTTGACTTTACCATTATGTTTTATGGATCATAATGACTGGAAGAAACAACGTGACCAGTAAAGTCTCCGATTAAGACTATTTATCTTTTTGTTGCTAGAAGCCCATTATTTTGCATTTGTGGTTAAAATCAAATTATTTTCTTTTAAATAAGCATATAAGATGGTTTTTGAGTCCCAACCACTCTGCAATGTTTTCCTCTGTCATGGCTCCTTGATATTTATGAACTATGAGAGAAAGCTGAATTACATTTTCTTAGGACACTTAATTAGCAAAAACTGGAAACACAGGAAGGGCTGGAGAATTTCTCCGTAAGTGGAGAACTGGTTTTTGTAAATATATCACAGTAATTTCTCAAATGGAAATGTTTTAATTTACTATTTACCAACTATTTCTGAGTCATGATGTCTGCTTTTAGGGGACAGAAGTATTATTTTAATTTGATTTCTGACTAGTGATTTTTGAGTCTGATTTAATTCCAAATATAGATATGGCAGATATTTTCTCTTCTTTCTAGGAATAGAAACAACTAAAAGGATATCAGATTGATATGAAATCAGGAGGCCTTTCAAATACCAAGGGCAGACAGATAAATGCACACAAGTAATAGTACTTTTGGAGGAATAAGACAGCTTAAACATGGGATTCTTATAAGTATTAAGTATAGAAATATACTTTATGAATTATAAATTAGTACTAATTAGTGAAGGATGAGTATGGAGTACAAATTTAACTTCTGGAACCTTCAAGTCATCATTTTGGACAGCCAAGTTTTTTAGACAAGGTTATAGCTTCAAATGATGACTTTTTAGAAAAAAAAAAAAGTTTTAGATATTTTTTTTTAAATAATTATCTGCCTTATTAATCAGAGCATAGTGAACTTAACTTTTTTATATTCCTCAGCGTTATTATGAGCATAAAGGGCTGCATTACTACTCATTGAGTTTAAGAGGATATTCTAGTACCAGAGAAATCCAGATAGCGACATTTTCTGAATACCCATTTTTATTGTAGAGGTGGAAATATCTGTAAAAAAAGAATAAGTAGGTTCTAATAATGGCCTTGTCTACCTTTTTAATCTTTTCCTCTACTGGGAAGAATCTTCAAGCAAGATCTTTGCGTACCCATCTTCAATTTCCAAACCATAATGGCGACATAAAGCTCATCAGGCTTGGTGTCAGGCACGGCAGTAGATGGTGCTTCACTGTTGCCTTCTAATGGCGGGGACTAATGTGATCACATGCTCTGAATCCCAAACACTTTTGCATTAGTAACAACTCACGATTCAATTCAGGAAACATTTTTGAGTATCTATGTACTCATTTATGAAGGACGAAAAGGAAACCTAAAAGTTAATTCTCTCAAAGGATTTTAATCTTAGACTGTGGCAAGTCTTGTTATCAGCTAACTTCAGTGCAAGGCTGAACAAATAAACCCCCCTGGCTTCCCAAACTCCAGTGATATCTTTTGAATAAATACAGGCAGGTCTGTGGCGAGTTTTTATTTGGTTGTGTGTGTGTGTACTATATATACATATGCAGTACATTACATGCAATATATATATATATATATATATATATATATGCATTAGATGTATATGTATATATTTATATAAATATTTTGGCCTTATATTCATCTAACATTTTCTGTTTTATTCAACAGAAATCTTCTTGACAGAGACACATTTTCTAAATCTGATCCAAGTAAGTATCTGTTTACTTGCTTTTGATATTCTATTTATTTTACTTTCTGATTTTGCACCAATTGTATGGAACTCATAATTTTTGTTTAAATATTTGTTTTAAAGCCTGGAAAGAAAGAAGGGGGATGGACTCAAGCCCTGTGTGCTCATCTCCCTGGGCAGTACTCTACCTAAAGAGGGAGTTGCTCAGCTTTTTGAAAGTAGGATGGAAGTGCAGATGACTCCAATGCAGGACAGTTCACCTTTGAACTACAGTCTCATGCTATGGCCATGTGGCAGAAATCATATTTGAAAAACAATCATATGTGTTTAAGTGTTTTAGTCACAGAGTAATACTCTTCCTTTTTTTTTTTTGTAAATAAAAGCAGTGTATGAGGCATATATAACTACATGAAATATATAACATCTTATATGAGCTGAATTTTTTGATGCCTAGAGATTTTGAAAATCAGAGATAATTTGTAAAATAAAAAAAGATAGTTTGAATTAGAAAACAGCCAAATTAATGTATAAATCAGTTAGTACAAATTGTGTACTATTTAAAGTTGATAGCTAACTGCTCTCCATATCCACAAATGTATGAAAAAATGTGGGTTAATTATAGGGGAAAGGTTTTGTCAGATGTTAGAATTCTTGAGGTACTCATTGGGAAATGGTATTATAATTTGTGGGTATTAAGTTTTCTATAGCTCATTTGATAAGTAAGTGGGACTTTTTTGTAATTCCTTAATCTTTATCCCAAACCCTTAATCTACCATTTGCATCTTCTCTTTATGGTTGACAGTCAGAAATCAAATTAAAATAATACTTCTGTCCCCTAAAAGCAGACACCATGACTCAGAAATAGTTGGTAAATGGTAAATTAAAACATTTAAGTAGGGGTAGATTCCATCTCAAGAAACCACTTTCTTTGCTCATCCATGAGAAGCAACTCCTCATCTGTTAAAGTTTTATGATACGATCACAGCAATTCAGTCACATCTTCAGACTCTACTTCTAATGCTAGCCCTCTGGCTATTTCCACCCCATCTGCAGTTACTTCCTCCGCTGAAGTCACGCTCCTCGAAGTCATCCGTGAGGATTGGAGTCAACTTCTTCCAAACTCCTGTTAATGTTGATATTTTGCCCTTGCCCCATGAATCAAAGAAGTTCTTAATGGCATCTAGACGGTGAATCCTTTTCAGGAGGATTTCCATTTGTTTCACCCAGATACAACAGAGGAATCGCTCTCTATGGCAGCTATAGCCTTATGAACTATATTTCTTAAATAATAAGACCTGAAAGTTGAAATTACCCCTTAATATGTGGGCTGAAGAATGGCTGTTGTGTTAGCAGGCATGAAAACAACAACAACCTCATCGTATCTCTCCAGCAGAGCTCTTGGATGACCACGTGTAGTGTGGATGAGCAGTAATATTTTGAAAGGAATCTTTTCTTGTCTGAGCAGTAGGTCTCAACAGTGGGCTTAAAATATTCAGTAAATCATGTTGTAACCAGATGTGCTGTCATCTAGGTTTTGTTGTAGACTTAGCATAATTCCTAAGGGCCCTAGGATTTTCCAAATGGTAAATGAGCATTGGCTTGAACTTTAAATCACCTGCTGCTTTAGCCCCTAACAAGAGAATTAGCCTGTCTTTTGAAGCCTTAAAGCCAGGCGTTCATTTTCTTTCCTGAAACCTCATGAATCAAGCTCTGCTAGCTCAGACTTCTCTTCTGCAGCTTCCTCACCTCCCTCAGCCTTCAGAGAACTGAAGCGAGTTAGGGCCTTGCTCCGGATTAGGCTTTGGCTTAAGGGAATGCTGTGGTTGATTTGATCTGTCCAGACCACTAGAACTTTCTCCATGTCAGCAATAAGGCTGTTTTGCTTTCTTATCACTTGTGTGTTCACTGGAATAGCACTTTTAATTTCCTTCAATAACTTTTCCTTTTGCATTTACAACTTGGCTAACTGGCAGAAGAGGCTTAGGGCCTGTCTTGGCTTTTGATAGACCTTCCTCACTCAGCTTTATCATTTTTAGCTTTTGATTAAAGTGAGAAGCTGGGGTCCAACCCCAGCAGGTCCAGGGGTCCCCAAAGGTGTGGACGGAGTTGGCGAAGAAGGAATGACACAGAGACAGTGTTCAGTTGATCAGCAGCCTAGCCAGGATCTCCAGCCAAGTTCTGGTCAGGATCTCCAGCGAAGTTCTGGTTAGGATCTCTAGCCAGGTTCTGTGTCCATGTTCTCTTGCTAGGTTCTCCAGCCAGGTTCTGTCTAGGTTCTCCATCCAGGTTCAGTCACCAGGTTCTAGTCAGGTTCTCTTGCCAATTTCTGTAGTCAGGTTCAGTCCAGGATCTTTTGCCATGTTCTCTCGCTAGGTTCTGTCTCTAGGTTCTGTCTCTAGGTTCTGTGTCTCTAGGTTCTGTGTCCTGTTGTCTTGTTACATCTGTATTTATACCAGTTGATTCAATCCTATCAATCTCTATTACAAAGGTTAGGGCGTTTCTTATCTCCATTCCAGGGAGTAAAGATTATGTAGCTTAATCGTGATTGTTTGTAGTTAAAGTGATTAACTACCCACCTGGTACTTAGTTAAGGGGTTTTATTCCCTCCCTAACTTCAGGGGAAAATCCCTTCCTGGGGAAACAACCTTTCTTGGAGAGGTGACCTTGGTTAAAACACATAGCACCAAGAAAGTTAGCAAACATATTAAGAACAGTATGCCATATGCACCAGGTCCCTTGAAACATATGCTGTGCAGATGTTTCTTTCCTGCAGTGACTGTGTCAAGCAGCAAGGATGGACCGGCTTCCGGCAGTGAGAGTCGTACAACTCTTTCTTTCACTTGAATATTTAGGGGCCATTGTATGGTTATCATTGGCTTAACTTCACTCTGGTTGTGTCTCAGGGAAGAGGGAGGCCCAAGAAGAGGAAGAAAGGCCTGGGAACGACTGGTCAGTGGAACAGTCAGAACACACACAACATTTATTAACTAAGTTTGCCATCTTATATTGGCACCCCAAAGCAATTATAATAGCATCATCCAGGATCACTGATCACAGATCACCAAAATCAAAATAACAATAATGAAAATATTTGCAGTATTGAGAGAATTACCTAAATGTGACACAGAGGCACTAAGTGAGCAAATGCTGTTAGAGAAATGGTACCGATTGTCTTGATTAACACAGGGTTGTCACAAACCTTTTATTGTAAAAAAAAATACAATATCTACAAAGTACAATAAAATGAGGTATGACTCTATTGAGGATGGCAGTATAATTTGTTCTAGGTTGTTCTTCCGGTGATGGCTTTGAGTACAATAGGTATTTAGGAAAAACTTCTGACATGTCTAGTAGCATACTGAAATGTCTCAAACCATAGTTTTAAAAGTTATCTACATCTGTAGCATAATGTAGAGACATTAGTAAATTATCATTACATTTTTTTATGTGCCAAGCTCTCTATCTAATTAAGTTTTAAAGATCTGATATAGTTTGTTCTTTGTTTCTTTACACAAAAAATTCAGCCATTTAATGATTTACTAGCAATTTTCTGGCAAGAGGAGGGCCGGGAATTAGGAATTAATTTTGGTGTTGTTTTTGAACAGTAGAAAAATAAATGATGCACTCATATCTGATTTTTATAAATGACATATATATGTTTTTCATCTTTTGTAGTTTGTGTCTTATATATACAAGGAGTTGGAAATAAAGAATGGAGAGAGGTAAGAATTAAAATTTTTAAAAAAATCACTGTGCTGGAAGGCAGGGTATAAGTTACAATTTGAGGATGATACTTTACTGGTTTTAGTTATTTTAAGTCTTTTTAAATCCAAAATGAATTTCTGCTTCATTTTGTGAAAGTAACCATTGTGTTTTATTTTTAATAATCCTGAATATTTGGCTCATTTAGGCTCATTTATGACTTTCCTGTGGAATATTCTAGTCTTGAAACTTGTATTTTCCTCAGTCAAAAGTAAATTTAATGTGTTTCAATTCTTATGTAACTGAAGTCTTACTTTTGCAGGTCAACTGCTGATTTTCTAAAATACCATTTTAAAGAGGGTGGTTTTAAGTGTGCTGCGTGATATCAACTATCACCTGCTTATTGCCAACTTATTATTTGAAAATAAAGTAGAAACTTAGTTTCCTAATACAAATATACTTTGTTTGGTAAAGCAAAAGCAATGAGGCAGAATTTCTGTTTTAGTCCATTTACTTTCTAATGCATGTCTAGGTTCCAATGCAAACATGGATGCTGGAGGGGAGGGGAGCATATTCAAATAAAAGGCCTTTCCATCTGCTTGTAGCTGCTGGTTACCCCAGGAATTTAGTGCATTGTTTTAATGAGGTTACAGTTTCTGGTGAGATTTCCCTGGTGAGATCCGTGCTCTTTGTCGCCACAGATTGCTTTGCAGCCAGCCATTTTACCCATGTGTCTCAATCGTGAGAGAGAGGGCAAGAGCAGATCATTATAATTTATCCTCGAAACTGAGAGAGCAAACCAATTCAAAAAATGTCTCTACTGATAATGGGTAGGTGGGATACTGAGTACCAGTTTCTCTTACCTAATTGCTTCCGGTGATTCGATATTTATGTCAAACTCTGCGCATACAAGTGTCAGCTCACCAGGCTTGCTTCTTCCCTCCAAAATGTAGCTGATGACATCACCAGCCAAAATACCCAACTGCAGTTTTTGCAGCCATCCTTGACTTTCTTCCTACACCTCCTTCATTTAATCGGTTATTGAGTGTTATGAATTCTTTTTCATAAAAAAATCTCAGATAAGCCGTCTCCTTTATTCAGACCCATGTTATCTTTTGTTTTCTTATGAGTCTCTGTCCCTCTCTCTTGTTCCTCTAGTTATTCCTTTGATTATTTTCCTGAGGGATATGCTTTCCTTTTGTTATTTGCTCTACAGTTCATTTTCTCAAAGGCCTGGGACATTGCGGTGGAACTGCTGACTGACCATAGGTCAGGAGTGTTTAGAAAATAGCATTACTTTACCAGCGGTGTTTAGAAAATAGCATTACTTGAGGGGCCAATAAAGAACTGAGATAAGATCCATAGGTACAGGAATAGGCATCTGGACCAAAGCAAATGCCTAACGATGAGACTTTCCTGATGCTTAAGCAATGAGATCCTTAATTTACAAAGTCTTTTGTAATAATAATGACTGATGTTGTAAGCCCTTTAGATATATTGACTAATTTAATTTGCACAACATCCCTAAGGGGTAGATATTATTTTCGTCCTTATTTTACCCCCGAGGAAATGGAAGCGCAGGAAGCTTAGGTGATTTGACAAGAATTACCCAGTGGTAAAACACAGAGTAGAGATTTCAACCCAGGCCATTTGGCGTCAGAGCCTCTGTTCTTAGACCACCTTGCTTTCCAGAACCCTTTTCTAGTCCCAACCTTTATGTTTTGGTTTTATTCATGGAAGGACATTCTATAAATTGATCTTTGGAGCTTTATACTTACTCTTTAAGGTTTGACTCTGAAGGAAAGACAATAGGAGAGGGAGGCCTACTATTTAAGGGAAAATTGTGTAATTACAAACAATAGTGTGGTGACTGGTGTGAGGGGAGGTGGGTGGAGGTGGAAGAAAGTCTATGGGGGATACATGGTGATGGGATAAAATAAAAAATAAAAATAAAAACAGGAAACGATATTTCACCTGTTTATTTTTTCTCTTTGAAGGAATAGAAAGTACTAGTAAGAGGCAATAACACTCAAATGGGGTTATACAAACAAAGTAGAAATTGAGAAAGTGACAAGAAATAGGACGCAGAATCATATAGAGTGAGTGGAAGGCAGGTGGACAATATGGGGAAATGCCAGTTAACAGGCAATTTCAGTAGAATTGCAGAAGAATTAAAAGTGTTAAGAACTAGAGAGTGATCTGCAAGAATAGAAAGGAAATGCCAGATGCAAGAGACAAGCATTTTGTAGCTAAAATCTCTTGCGTTTAGCAGCTAATTGATCGTGCTGGATAAAGGAAAGAGATGGAAAAATGAAATACACTATGTATGTTATTCAATTATCCCAAACCGCTTGAGAAAGACAGTTTCCTTATTTTGAGTGCTGGTGTAATAGAGCGATTAAGAGAGTGCACCTGTCCTCTCAGTGTTTCTGTTTCCCCCCTCTGTAACGTGGGGAATGAGATAATGATTCTAGCTCATGTGGTTGCTCTGAGGATGAAATGTGAACCACCCATAATGACTACGTGTCTGGCATAGTCAGCACTATATGATTTCGGATACATTGGAACTCTAAGAGATCAAAAAAATTTCATAAGCATAATAAAACTAGTAAGTGGCAGGTAAGTAAATTCCTGCATTATATATTCCGTAAAATTCATTGCACAAGTTGATGGGAAAATGACCTGAGGGATTTACTTGGCCTCAAACCTAATATAAAGCTGTGATGTTATACAGCTGCTAAAAAGCTAATGCAATCTGAGGATTCATTGATGGATGTGCAGTGCTTACATCAAGGAGGATAATGCTGTTAATGTCGAGCTATATGAAATTGTCATTTTTGTAGGTCAAAAATGGTTGTATTGGCAATTTCATGTCATTGAATCAAACACTATTGTATTTTGCTTTGGCGTGAGCAAACCTAGAATGTTATTTTTCAACCATTCAAATGCCAAGTGTGTATTTAAGGAGGGCTACCATCTTGAAGAAAGGAATGGAAGTTATGCCATATCAATGAATGAATGTGTAACCTGAAAAATACAAAGATTCTGAATAGAATAGTCATACTTATTATCCTCAAATTCTTATTTTCATTTAGAAATGGGGCTATACTTGACATTCAAACAAACAAACAAAAAGGGAAACAAAAAATTTGGCCCAAAGGATGGAAGGACAAAGAGGCTTTATATAGTCCACTGTGAAGAAGACATTGGTAACATTTATTTATTTTTATTTTTTAAAAAATATATTTCTTTATTGATTTCAGAGAGGAAGGGAGAGGAGGAGGAGAGAGAGAAACATCAATGATGAGAGAGAATCATTGATCGGCTGCCTCCTGCACGCCCCCCACTGGGGATCGAGCCCACAACCCAGGCATGTGCCCTTGGCCGGAATCGAACTTGGGACCCTTCAGTCCGCAGGCCGACGATCTATCCACTGAGCCAAGCCGGCTAGGGCAACATTGGTAACATTTAGAGTATCCCACAGTAGAACAGGTTTTTAGAACTGTACCCTGGACTCTAGTGGTTGTCCTGCATTCAAACAGGTGTTAGACTGATTCACCAGGTAAGAAGTTGCACTTGATCGGCTCTAATTTCCTCCCAAGTCTATGATTTTATGGTGGGTACTCATCAGTTCACCCAAGTATCTTTTAAGCATTGTACATTTTTAAAATATATAATAGCAAAAATCAGTATAATAAAGTGTGTGTGTGTGGGGGGGGAGGAGGGGCAGGGAGCTTTCCTCCACCTTCTAGCTTCTTCTGGTTGGTCTAATAATAAAATAGACAAGAGGCAAATTAACAAAAGAAAATGTCCAAATTTAATTACAAATGTGCATATGGGAGCCCCACATGCATAAGAGAGTTACAGACCCAACATACCCAAGGGGTTCAGCTACACAAAGGTAAAATGAGGCATATATGGCATTCTGAGCTAAGGATGAGGTGAGGCACCTTGGTGCTTCAGAGGTGAGGAAGGTCATTGCAGGATGATAAGAAGCACACCTGGCCAATAATTAAAAGTTTGCCCTGTCCTGTAGACAGGTCATAAAAAGTTATTTCTGGTGATAATTCTTTTTATGGGCTGGGGCCGTTATTTAAATTCTTTAAAGGAGAGGGAAAAGGTTCTCTTGAGCCCTCAGGGTCTCGATTGCTTTCAGCTTGAAATAATTCATATGCCTAAGTGCCTCACCCTGAGGAGGACTGGTTTGAACAGCCTTGATAATTATTCTCAGGATATTTGGCATCAGGCAAGTGAAAGGATATTATAGATGCTTGATTAATAATTTTAAATATATCCATCCACTTATCAATTTAACCTATATTTACTGGGTGGCTCTCAGCGGTAGTGATGTGTAAAAATGTAAATTAGACAATATTTCTACCTCAAGGAGCATGCAATATCATTGGAGAATTTTATCAGGAATGTCAGTATGTTTATGCAATCAAGTTACTGATTTAGGTGTCAGCGCTGTGTCAATAATATAGTGGTTGTGTTTGTGTTTGAATTTAGATGTGTTCTTGAAAAATATGTAGTAACTAGCCACATGATTTTATGTTCTGGGATGAACTTTTAGATATTAAAAAGGAATAAAAAAAATAAAAAGGGGCCTAACATGTTGAAACAAATCCTCCAAATAAAGTGATAGAAAAATTATTTTAAGTTATTCTATAGCTGAAATCTGCAATTTTAAAATTATGTCTGACACTTTTAGAATTACATGAATATCAGTAAATTCTATTTAATGATTGTGAATTATCAAAAGCTCTCAAAGTAATGGATCTTTTAAAACAAAAATTATATTTTAGTGCATAATAATTTTGGAGCTAGAAATGATACTTAAGTGCCATGAATTACGAAAATATGAAAACCTCTTAGTGGCAAGTGGAACTAGCAAAGTAACATCCCTAAGGATGCACACTTGACTTGCAAGCTTCTGAAAATGTTGCAATTAGCTCCTTTGCATTAAATTTTAGTTATCCATTAGTAATCTGTTTTGTGAATTACTTTTAAACATATAAAA